CACAAACACGAGCACGGCCACGAGCCCTCCCGCCCGCACGCGCGCCATCGCGAGCACGGCGGCGATCGGCCTGCTGGTCACGGGCGTCAGGACTCCGGTCTGGGTAACGAGGAGAGGCAGCGCCAGAGCGGCAAGCGAGTGGCACGGCACAGCGTCAGAAAGCACGCTCTCTTTTCAGCACGCAGTCAGAAGGACCACGGGGAAGACGAGCGTGACCGTGAAGAGGTGAGTGTGAAGTGCAGAACCAGGCAGCTGACATCTGCTGTTGCATAATAATGGAAGGTGCATACACACAAATAATGCAGAAGCGTGTTTGTGACCATTGGGTAATACAGGTAGAGCGAATGCTAGAGGTCATGGCCACAGTTTTGAGTCTACTTCTTGAGTTTCCAATTCTGTCTGCCCATCACCCCTGTTTTCTCAGAGATCTTCTTGCCTATTTATCTGTATAAAAGAGATCCTTAAAGCTTTCTGAGACACTCCGCTTACAGGTGGGGGTTTTTGCCTTCCCAATATTCATGAATACTCTCCCACACACCTTTTATGGTCTTCTGTCTGAATCTAACAACAGTAACATCTTTGGAAGCTGCACAGAAACTCTTTGCTAAAAGAAACAGCTGCATCTTTTCAACATGCTTCTGCTTTCTTTGTCCTAAGAGACTGTGAAGTAAAGTATTTGTAGCTTCTGCCAGCCTGTGCTCAGTATAAATTCTTCCATTTCTCCATTCAGCATCCATTATTTCTGCCAGGACCACAGATGTACTTTCCCTTCTCTACTACAGCTAACTGCAGAAGCAGGATATTTTGATGTCATGGTTTTAAACAGGAAGTCAAGATAGGAAGGGGTGGAGTGAGTACCAAGTTTGAGTTTTTAGACTGAATTTAAAAGTGACACTCCAGCCACAGGAGGTTGATAGGTAAAGAGAAGTGTTAGAAAACCTGGTTTGGATGTATGTTCTTCCACTTCTTTCCTGTTGCTTTCTTCGTTGCTTGTCCTGTATAATGGTACAGAGTATGGAAACTAATTTTCATGGACATTTATCAAAAATTATACAGGAGTTTGGAGACTGAGTGAAGGTATTTTTACTGTTTCTTTCCCCTCATAAACCACTTAGATGAGCTCGGACATTTTTTAGAACTGATGGAATGCTGTGGGCCAGACTTCCTACTTTTCTGTTTGTGTCCTCGAATCATATGCTAAATTTCCTGTAACTGCAGTTTTTGACGAAATAGTTACTTCTGTATTTAATTTGTTTGTACAATTTGCTTGCAGTGCTTAAATGTTACCCAGCTGCTACGGTACTATGGCCTGGAAACCAGCTCTCCAATATCTCCTGAATTGTTTGTATACATGTGTCCTGCTTTGCTATACCAGATCGAGAGAAGGCTTTGTATTGTACATTATGATGAGCTTGAAGATTTTATGAAAAGTAAAAATGCATCAATTGAAAACAGAGATAAAACAGGTGCATCAGGTACGTCTGTTAACACCTAAAGCCTTCAAAATCATTTTGTATTGCACATATTAACTTCAAAGTTGGAAATGTCATACAACTTTACAATGACTGTAGAGCGTAAAGGAATGGTTGAAATGAAGCATGCTTATTAGAAGAAATTTGAGGCAGCATGCTGCTTTAAGTCAGGAGTTTTTTTCCTCAGTGCAGCTGAAGTGGTCCATGTATTTATCTCAAAGCTGGAAAGTTGCAGCGTTACTTTGGCACAAATTTTCTTGATAAATTTGAACTGGATCTAGTCATCCAGGAGTAGAGAACAGCACCGTGATCCCAGTTCATTCACTACAAAATATGTTTTCAGGTGTTACTGTTATGTTCTAGCAGTAGACTTTTCTCCCTTGTTACCATAGTTCTAAGCTAAGAGGCAGTTGTTGTTAAAGCAGTTATTTTAAGGGCAGCATTCATTGCTGTGATTTCATAACTGAGTATATTTTTGAAAATATATGTTTACTACTGCTATCTTTCATAAAATATAATGGAAATGTTGTCAGATGTTTAGCTGCAGTGAAATACTAGAAATGTAAAAAACCTTGGGTACAATGTCCGTGTTTTGAAAATAAAAATATTGGTAATTGTGAATATTAATTAGCATACAGATGTTTATTAGCATTGTTAGAAATAAAGCTTGAAGTAACTGCATTCTTGTAGATCTTAATAGATGTTGGAAAGAATGCATTGTTGGTAATCTTTTTTAACCATGGTTAATTAAAATAATTAACTTGTTATACATGAATCTCCCATACTGACACAGCTACTCCCTTGTTAACTGTGCAAAGATTGCTGTAAAGCAGATACACTGTTTTATACGACAGCAAATTGTTTTGTTGGGTAGTCTCATTGCAGGAAGAGTTGACCCTTGCCTTATTACCAAAGGGACTTCTAGAGTAGCTCTAAGCATTTTCTGCCAATTAAAATGTTGAAACCATCTACAAAGCTGTCATCTTGCACATGCTTTGAACCAGTTAATTAGAAAGTTTCTACAGATGAGTGCTTCTTTTTAAAAGAATGCATTTTCTTCCTCTGTACTGAGTAAGGGAGTTGATAAATAACTCAGCTTGAAGACCTTTAACATTTTAAGAGGCTTAATTTGCAAAGTTATTGAAGCTTGTTGTGAGCATTTAACATGTTTTTATGGCATCTGATGGCTTGAATATAAATAACACATTTGCCTGTTATTTGTAAAAAATTGGGTTTTAACTTACTGATTTGGGTCTGAAAACAAACAGTAACCTCTAAAACAGGTCAACTTGATTAGAATGATAAATAATTTTTCATAACAATTTCCCATGTACTGTTGTATTAACTACAGTGAGACTTCAGCTGATGGAATAATAATAATTTTTCATATTAAGTGTGGAAGTGAATCACAAAATAAGAGATCTTAACTGGTATATGGGGATTGTAGGACATGTAGAACAACTGTCAGTCATGGAGTAACTTCACCTGCAGGTTGTAGGATTCTACTGAAATGAAAATGAATGCTTACCCAAGCTAATGTAAACATTTTTAGATAGAAAAATTTGCCAAAGTTAAGAGAATGCAGACACTAGCTTTTTGTAGTTATCTTTAGTTTTAATTAGAGCTTCAAAAAAATCTAATAGACTAGTGCTGCTTCTATTGATTGATACTAACCTGCAAGGTTTCCACTGGCTTTAATAGTGCACTTTTCTAAAGAAAGTAATTTAATTAACTGATGACCAAGAATTTAGGAAGCCATGTTGAGTTTTCTTGCTGTACTTAACAAATAGTTCTGTAGCATCCTCTAATAGAGGTTCTTCAAGGACTTACACGTGAGTCTGTTTTAATTTACAGACAGCTGCCCAAATCCAGTGGGAGCAGCTGTCTAACAGACATTACCCACTCTTTGAACAGAGAGCCCTTGCTGAAGAAATTGTTCAATCTCCTCCCTCTTGGTTTTTTCCATAGAAATACTTTATAACCCAGTGCACAGTAACCTCACCTCATTGAGCAAGCATTATACAGTATTCCTAGGAGTGTTACACACCAAGATCTTTTATGACTTAAGAGCTCTTGCAGTGTTCAGAATATTGCATATTAGTTCCAATTCTGTAACATTTTAGTGTTTTGAACACTACAGTTCAATGAAGTCCTTCTATAAAATTTTGTGTTGGAATTTTGTTTAAGTGTTTCTTAGTAGTCCAGTAGTCCTTTTCTATTTGTAACTGTGGGGTCATGCACAGCTTTTGTATGTATTTTTTTTCTTTACTTGACAGCAAGCTTTTGCTGATAATTTTGATTCCATACCATTTTTTAAGGCTTTAAACAGAGGCAGAAGCTGACAACCAAGATCTGAGAGATGCACAGATTCAGTAATCTGATTCTCATGTGCCTCTTAATCATGGTGCCGTGTTTAGATACTGTATCATTCCTGAGAGTATGTAAAGCCCTTCAGAGACGTGTTGCCAGAGCTACGCTCTGATATATGAAACTTCAGCCAGTTTGCATTATCTCCTTCCCATTTTTCTCTATGTAAGGCTGTTGGTCATCTAACCTGGCACTTCACATCACGATGTCTGTGCCTGGATTGGAGATCCAATGTCCTGTCAAATGGCTGTGTAATTTTTATTTTGGCTGCTTGCTTCAGGATTGCCTTGCAAGTCCATGTTTCCTGCAGCAGAGCCAGTTAATCCAGAGTACATGACTGAAGTGCTCTGGGGATGATTCAGATCTGTGGAGTGGCAGTATTTTGGTCAGCAGGTCCTGCTTCCACTTTAGACCTCTTTTGTATTCCCGTTTTCCAGCCTTTTTTTCCCAGTTCTTCCTCTGATCCAGTCTTTGCCTCTTCACCAACACTGTTTTCCTCTTTGTGCAATATGACTTGCAGTGTGTGCTGCATACTTTGTAAAGCTTTTCCCCAGTCAGATTCTCCTGGTGGATGTGCTCTTACACCCTTTGCATTTGAATTGGGTTGTTTCCTTTTCTGCACTGTTGTGGAGTGACAGCTACAGACTTTGTAAGAATGCATATCCCAAAATAAAATTTAAAACAGCAGATGTTACAAATTTTGGTGTTGAAGCAGACCAGGTCTGCAACAACAACAATTTTAGTGGCATGAAGCTAGGAGAAAACCTGGAAGAACTTGAAGCATTTAGGCTAAAACTTAAATAATAAAAAAGTTTGGACTGAGGAAATCATGTTCATGAAAGATCTTAGCCCAAACAGTTCATGTTTGTAAAGCAGGAGCACCAGCTATTCCTATCTTTGGGACTGTGAATATTTGAACTGTGTTCTTGGAATGAAACAGTTTTTACTTACTGTTTTTTGAAGTTTTTGTGAGAGGAAGAAAAATGAGGAGATAGAGAAGCAGAGAGAGGGGTTAAAAAAAAAAAAACACACAACAGTTTTTAATTCTTACCTTTACTGATGACTTGATAAAGTAGAAGAAAAAGGATCTTATTTGGGTGAGATGCTGTCTGCAGGAGCCATGTTTGCTTGCTTATAGGATCTGTTTCTTTCATGTCATATAGAAATTTGCACTTTCCTTAATAACAGGCTTATGTTGAGTGTACCATATCCCATTATCAGTTTTTCTTCTAATGACAGCAACAGAGGTTCTCAGAAAAAACAAATAATGCTTTTTGTTGGTAGCAAGTTCTTTTCAGCTCTGCAAGCTCTTCCAGCATTTGATTTTAAAGTTCCTCTATCTCAAAGGCTGTCCTACTTATTTCTCATAATAAAAATGTGTGTTTCAAAGCAGCAGGTGAAAAGAGTGGTGCCTAACTGAATATGTTACTCCTAACAACGGAGGAGAAATATTGATTCCAGTTAAATTTTGCATCAGCATCATGTTAAAAAGCAAATGTTAAATATGAATTAGTGCTCACAGAGTCCAAGCCTGGAACTGAACTCGGGAATAATTGCTGGGCTGTTTTAGCTGATTGTCTTCTGATGTCCTTAACTATATTGTACTGTGAATAAGCCTGTGTATTTTTTATACTTCAGTATGGCCTTCATATTTTTCAGCACCTTTTGAGTGAGCAATCACACAACTTAAGTTAAAGGAAAATCACCTTCTTAACAGATAGTTGAAAGTCATTGATCAGCCTTAAAACTTTTACAAGTATTGTTCTGATAACCTTTCTGTATTCATTTCTCCCCACAGCCTGGTTTTGTGGTATCATCTCTATCACCGTCATTAGCCTGCTTTCCTTGCTAGGTGTGATCTTGATTCCCATCATTAACCAATGGTGCTTCAAATTTCTTCTAACTTTCTTGGTAGCTCTGGCTGTAGGAACAATGAGTGGAGATGCACTACTCCATCTGTTGCCACATGTAAGTATTCTTTCCTTACCTTTCTTTCTTAGTTGTAATAGAAAATAGAATTTTCAAGGAGTTGTTTAACAAGTATCCATAAATAAATGTTCCCTGATACAGCTGTAGACTGACTTGACTATGAGGAACATCCTGAAAAAGTGTTTGAGAGCATTTTAAATTGAGCAGTATTACTGTCTCTTGTCTACTGATGCTTGTGTACCACCTAAAATAATTCACAGGGATTAACCTTCCTGTTTATGAGCTTTTGTGGACAAAGTTACCTCTAACTTATTCAATCAAGGAATTCTCCCAAGTTCCTGGAAAGTTAAGATTTTTTAATTTGTGATGGTATACTGTAATTCTTTACAAGGGGAAGTGTTTTCTGAAATGTTGTTACCTTGTGTAAATTTTAATACAAATTTTTGGTCTTTTTTTTTTTTAAAGTTTATATTTCAGATCACAATCAAGGTTATAATTGACAGTAAGAGTTAAAATTATGTGGTTGGTTGCTAATGTGAGTGTAGGAATAGCAATTCCTTGTGACATTGCTGAGTGTTAGTCTGAATATCTTTTGCGTTGTGACAGCCTTATTATTTTCAGGATTGTGACAGCAAAAAGCTAAAGCTAGGTTATCTCTCACTCCACCCAAAAAATTTCCTAGGGGAATATTTTGTTATTAATTAGCATATTGAATAGACTGATGAAAAATGTCTGTGGCAAAATGTGTTTGTATTAAAAACCAAAACAAAACAACAGGAAAAAAAAACCAGCCCGACTTCTAAAATCTTTCTATGCTAGTTTTCTGGCAAGGTTACATATTTTATCATCTGAGCTCAGAGCTATTGGAGTCTCCTGCTTGCACCAGATCATTGTGTGTTACTGTTTTCTCTCCCAATAGTCACATGGAGGCCACAACCACAGTCACCACCATGGCCAAGGTCATGTTCATGAACACAAGCGGTCTCACCGCCATGCCCACGGACACGGAGCTCGGGCTGAGGGCTTCCTAGAAGAGAATGATCCAGTGCTGAAAGGTCTCGTGGCACTTGGAGGCATTTATGTTTTGTTCATCATTGAACATTGTATAAGAATGTACAAGCATTATAATAAACAAAAGGTACCTACTAAATTTGTGTGCTATTTTAAAATATATTACCTGAAGTTGTCTTCCAAGTGCTGAGGAGTTGGTCTGTGTGAGCATGAACAAGTGCTGCTAATCTGCACTCTGTGTGATTTTATATGAGAAAACCCTGTTCTAAAAGATGCTGCTTTTCTTAACAAGGTGATTTAAGACAGAGTAGGAATCTGATGGGGAGGCTGCACTTTTTTGGCCAGATATATTTGGAGGTAGATCTAAGTAAAAGAGATAACAGCTTTCTCTAAAGCACTGAGAGTTTTCTTCAAAAATGAAAGGCAATTTACAAGACATTTAACTGTATACTATTAGCAAATGATGCTAGTGTAACAGAGGTGTTCAGTTTTTGCATGTGAGAAAATGCTAAAATGTGCAGACCTCCTGCTCTCTATGAACTGCCAGTCAAATTTTAATTTCTTTCCCTGAGAATGATTGGATTTTTAGGGCTGGGAGTGTGCTCACTTCTTTTTGGTGGTAGAAAAGGTGAACAAGTACCTCAGGGGGACTGTGACAGTGGGTAGAAATTCAAGCCACCAAAGAGCCATATCCTTTTAACTGTCAACATAAATACACTTCCAACTTTTGCTTCCATCATTCAACTTTGAAGAGAAAACTATTTTGGTGAAACTAACTGCTTCTCCCAAAATGAGTGTGGAAAATGTTAAAGTTCTCCATTTTCATATCAGACAGGCAGGAAAAGATTTCTGTGTTGGAGGAGGCATTTCTTAGATCTTCTGATTAAAAAAAAAAAAGAAAAGCTGTCACACTGGGCATATCTTCTTTGAGATCAATTAAATAATTAAATCCCCTAGGCTGCTTTGGCAAACCTGTGATCTCTGTTGGATGGGTTGCAGACAGGAAAGCAGCAAGCTAAAGGAAAATAAGTTTATAGGAGTATAAAAAAACAGGGCAAAGTGGAGGAGCTGTTCTTGGTGCATGCTTGCTTTCTTGAACAAAATCAGCAAATACAACAACTTCATCCTTGTGCTTCTGGGCTGTTGGAGCAACCCCGGTGTGCACGTGTGTGTTTGTGAGCCAGTGAGATTCTGAGGTAGGCAGCTGAGGATTTCCACTGGGGTGGATATTGTTGCTGAGCCTTAAAAAAGATTAATATTCTGTAGTCGCATACTTCTGTTAGAAGTATTAAGAGAGAGTACCTTAGTCTATTTTGAAGGTTTTTTTGGACAGCATTTTCAGTTTGTTGTATTCCCATTCACGTCCTTTCACAAACCAGATGTTATCTGTTTCCTGTTGCAGAGTAAGCAGAAATGGTGCAAGAAAAAACAGACTGAAGAATCACCGATTGGAAGGAAACTTTCTGATCACAAGTTAAATAACAGACCAGATGCTGACTGGCTTCAGCTCAAACCCCTTGCAGGTAGGCATTTATTTTCAGAATTTTCTCTGATTATGAGATTCAAAGTAATGGCATGTAACCTATGGCGTGTTGCATGTAACCTCTTGTACAGTTGTGCTGCTATTATGCAAATCATTGTTAATAAGACTTAATAGGCTTTCCCTATTAAATCTTTTTAAATTTTGTTTTCCTTAGATCTGAAAGCACTCTGAACACTTCCTAATATGCCATACAAATGGTTCTCAGACTTCTGAAGCAGTCAGGTTTTGAGTAGCCGTGGTTCCTTGGGGTTTTTTCTGTTTGGTTTTGGGGTGTTTTTTGGTTAAGCTGTGCCTGACTAGCTCAGCCCTGGCAAAAATTAGATCAAAACCAAACACACACAGCCTGAAAGGGGATATCTGTTTCACTTTGAAGATTCCCAACTCTGTCCAACTACAGTTTGCCTGAGAAGGCTAAACAAAATTAATTTACTTTCATAAATAAAACTGGAGATTCTGAATATCCTTCAAGTATCCAAAACAACTTTCATGTACTGTTCCTTCATGACAGTCTGAATGCTCATGCAGTGTGTGCCCAGAAGGAATGCCCTCTCACTCATCTTGAAAGGGTGAGGGAAGGGCTTTGCTTCATAACCTTCCCTCTCTGTTGCTTGCATGGCTGCTGAGTTAATTTGTTCGTGAAGAATCCATAGGCTATGTTTATACAAATACAGTTTTGTTAACTTGAGTGTTTGTGGAAGGAAGATTTAGGACTGTAGCCTCCTTCACTCAAACAACTTAAAATGGGATTTGGGACATGGAGATAGAACACAGAAAGACTTTCAACTGTGAGGACGTTGCTACATATATTTGAAATATCTTAATTTTCTTTTAACGGGTGATTAGAGGAATTTTGCTTCTGATAGCATGGAGTAGGTACTGGGTTTGTGACACTGTTGCTCTGAAAGTGCAAATTAAACTTAAAATTTCTGCACATATGGCTTCTGCATTGTTTTCACTTCGTGTTTCTTTGTAAAAATGGCTTTGGTTTCTAGCAGGGTAATGAGCTACATGGAAGGAGCTCACTGGATGACACAAATGTCTGACACAGAGGTCCATGCAGTGCAGAAACTATGTAAAGATCTGTTGTATCAGTGGCAGATCCTGCTGTGCTAAGTGAGGCTAAGTTGTGACCTGTGTGGGCATGCATAGACAGTAGCCAGTTAAGGTTTCCTGAGCTGTTCAGATTCCATTTACAGCATATATCATTATTATTTCCCTGGCAACATCCTTTTCCAGTGCTGAACCATAAAATTCATCAGTAGCCAAATGACAGATACAAGCCTAGGTCAGGCTAGAAGTGACTTTGAGTGCTGTGGACACTGTGCTGTAGTGTTGTAGTGGAGGCTTCCACATGCTCTGTGTGCAAACCAGTGAAAAAATGGGGCAGTGAGAGACTTGGTTTTGGCTAAACATAGACAACAATGTTGCTGGACTGGGATGTGTTAAAATATGGGTTTTTGCTTTCACAAAGCACTTAAATTCCTGGCTCAATGAGGCAGGAGTTGCTGGTGATATTTTAAATAAGAATTAATGCCATGTCTCTCTTCACTGGCTTCAATGTAGGAGCAGATGACTCAGTTCTGTCTGAAGATCGACTCAATGAAACTGAACTAACTGATTTAGATGGCCAACTGGAATCCCCTCCCAAAAACTTCTTGTCTGTAGAAGAGGACAACAATATGCACCATTCTCACAACGATGTCTCACATGCTGCTCAAGGGCATGATCTTCATGACTCAGAGTATGACAGCCATGGCGAAGATAAAATGATAGCTAGAAAACACAGTCACCACTGGCATCACAAACATTCCCATCATTCCCATGGCCACTGTCATTCTGGAAAAGACCTGAAAGATACTGGGATAGCTAATATTGCTTGGATGGTAATTATGGGAGATGGCATTCACAACTTTAGTGATGGCTTAGCAATCGGTAAGCAAAAGCACTGAGTATTTCTCCACAGTTTCTTCTTACCTTTAGTAATTTTGGTAATATTTTACTTAACAGGGATCACAGGTAAGACTTCCAATTAGCTCCTCTGGCATTGTTTAATCTCATTCAGAGAAGAAGTTAAAAAGCCATCAGTTGTAATAGTCTTCCCTCTGTTAACATTCCATGACTGTTTCCACCAAGATTACTGTATTGGTAGTAGTGACAGTAGCAATCTCAGCCAAATAAAGATAGAGAAGACAAACCTCCTTGTGAATTGTGGAGCACACGTAATGCACATTTGTTGTTTAGGTCTTAGTATTTGCCTTTGAATAGTAAATAAGTGCCTTTCAGTCTTGTATTTATTTATGATAATAATACTATTTCTATTGTTACATAGAATTACACAGTACTCAGTACTTTACAGTACAGTAAAAAATAAATGTACTATGAAGTTACTGAAGTAATAATTTTTTTAATGGTACAACTTAGGATAATTTAATTTTTGTTTGAGTAGAGTATTGTTTTGGCTTATGGTCAGAGTAGATTTATTTCTAGCCAAATGTAGAAGGAATCGAAGTGCCAAACAGATTTTATCAGATTCATTAAATCAACTTTGATTCACATAAACTTCTCAATGTGATTTGAACTGTAAAACACATTAATTTGTATTTATTTCATACGAGTCAAAATGATGGTGAGACTACTGAGGTGGATGCTTTTAATTTTTTACTAAGGCAGCTGCTAAGAGTGCACAGGGTTCTGAACTACCAGCAGAAGGAATATACCCATTTTGAAGGTTGGGGGATAAGCTACATATTAGGGTCTGGAGTTCACAATGGAACCCTACTATAGTCTCCAAACAATTTCTAAAGAAACTAAACTCCATAAAAATTAACTTTTTCCTTCATTTTCACATTAAACAGGTAAGTGATTTAGACAGTGGCTTCCAAAGCCAAAAAGGATCACTACGCCATCTGTTGAGAGCTTCACTGTATTGAAACTCCATTTCTAAATATTCCTCTGTCAAGCCCAAACAGCTGAGTCGTTGGTAAAATGTAGATTTTAGAGAAGCATGTTTATCTTTTTCATATAGCAAGTTATGAGGAATCCAGAGGAAAGTTACATTTCTTCTCTGTCTTCAGACTGTCTCATCTTTCTAAGTTATTTGCCTGCTTTGACTGCTTACTGCAGGCTATTCTTGTGCTTTTCTCTGCTACAGTACAGAAATTTGATACCAGTTTTCTCATCCCAGGATTATTTAAGGCATGAACTTAAAGCTGATTGAATAAAATTAGCATACACAAAAGTTACTGGAAGAGGTTTATGCCGATGTTTTTTCTTATTTTTTTCAAGGTCTGTCTTAATAGTGTTGCTTATATGTGCTCTACAAATAAGCATCAAGGAAATAGAGAGGTTATGGGCTAAATATTAGTTTGGATTTCCAGCCTGGAGAGGAGACCTAGACTGTGTGGATTCTTGACTGTCCTCATGTACTTTAAAGTTTTTTTAATGAAGAAATAATTTAAAGTGTTCCCAAATATGTGAAAGTGGTGCTGTTTATTAGCTTGTTGCATTTATGTCTCTGTTTTGCTCAGTTCTCCTCTCCTAGGATTTATGTTTCAGATCAACTGAATAATAAAGTAAGCAGTATTAGTGCACATCCAGGACACTTGCAGTATTTTCAGTTTATATAGAGACAGGACACAGGCATAGTGGAAAAAATACTAGAGCGTTCGTTTGAAGAGAAGGGTGTAATCTCTGGAAAGTTTATTTAATTACATTTTCTGACTTGAAAATAGTAAAACGTCATGTAATTTTTTTTTTTTTCCCCTCTAGGAGCAGCTTTTAGTGCTGGACTAACAGGAGGAATTAGTACCTCTATAGCAGTATTTTGCCATGAACTTCCACATGAATTAGGTAACTATTTTTATAGGCTCAATGTGTTCAGTCTCTTCATGTGTTCAAAATATCAGTCTAAAAGCTGTTGTGATACTCATCCTGATACAATGCAATGCAGATGCTGCAGCAGTGACCAGAGGAATGGAGCAGTCCTGCTTCATGGTAGATAATGAGAATATTGATACAGGATTATAGTGGCAGCTATCTAGTTACAGCAGTTCTGTGAAGCTTTTTGAACGTGTTTGAAAGATCTTCTCAGGAGCATACAGTTCACGTTTCAGTGTTACACCTCTGCATTTTATAGAGAGACTTTCACACTGCTCTGGGTGGCCTTGCCTTACACAATATTAAGTTGCATAAATAAACACAAGCTTACATAAGTGAAATTCTTCACAGGGATGGTCAGAAGATGCTTTGTAGCAATTGTGCCGAGTTGTGTAGGTGTGGATGAGTATTTAGGGTAAAGCCTGTTGGTGTTGTTGCCAGCACCATTGATTGATTCTTCCCCACTAATTGAGGTGTTTCTTCTTGGGGTTAGCTGACTGTGATGAAACCTGTTCTTTTCCTGTGAGCTGTAAGGCACATTGCATCAAATTTTAATGCATCCCCAGATTTAGAAAAGAGCCCCTAGAGAGAGGAGTTGTCTTTTTTGCCAGCAACATGAAATTGTGCTAGATTAAACTGTCCATGTACTCACAGATTGCTTACCTGACCTGCTAGCTCTGAATGATAAGGTAAAACTAGTAATTCAAAAACCCTTAGAGGTGGTGAGGGAAAGCATTTTATACAGGCAGGTCCTAAGGATTAGGTAAGTAATGGGCACAAATGGGAAATAATGGAGCAGGTTTTCATGGTCTGACAACGGTGCTATTAGTTCAGTGGAGCTTCTGCAGTACATAAAGATTAGCAATATATATATAGGTGTGCTTATAACTTAAAGGTTAATGTGATTAACCTTGTATAAAAAGTACATCTTTAGTTCTGATTCTAGATTGAGCAATTAATTTCTAGCTTATCTGACATGAGAATTATTACATTAATTAACCTCATGACTGCATATGATCTACTATATATGATATACTAAGAGGAATTTTCACAGGTATTGATCAAAACTAAGCTGGTTTTATGTGCCATGAAGAACTGCTGTGAAGTAAAGACAAGTGTGTGTGCACAGATGCATTCTCTGTGGGAGGACCAGATCCAGACTCCTCCATTTACCTTCAGCCACCACTCACTATTACCATTCTGACAATCAGCATGATGAATACACACCTTTAAATCATACTTTAATCATGGGATTTCTGCACATAAATACAGTTCTTGCAAGAGTTGTCATATCCTGTTGCCCAATTTTCCTGTGAGCCTTTGTAGCAGCGTTTTCACTTTGGCAGTGCCTTGGCTTGGTGAGATAGTAAATGTAGACTAATTTATCTGCTTGCTCTCCTGAGAAGGGTTGATACTAAACCCCTGTGTTCTGTCTCCATTTCAGGTGACTTTGCTGTGCTGCTTAAAGCAGGTATGACAGTAAAGCAAGCGATTGTGTACAACCTCCTGTCTGCCATGATGGCTTACATAGGGATGCTGATAGGCACAGCAGTGGGACAGTATGCTAACAACATCACCCTGTGGATCTTTGCAATCACTGCAGGCATGTTCCTCTATGTGGCACTGGTTGACATGGTAAGACTGTTAGGCTTCTGTGTTGGTTTTGCATTCCATGCATAAAACCTGGGGCTTGAAGTGGCACCTGCAACAGAAAGCTTGTTGTTGTAACACATAAAATACTGCAGGCAGTAGATGGCTGTTTCTCTTCTGTGACTTTTTAAAATGCTGCAGATACTTTGAGGGCTGTAGTGAAGTTTTGTGGTTGCTTGCCTCTGGGCTTCTACTACCAAAGTCTGTCACTGACTCCTGTTAAAATACAAAAACTACAGGGGAGGCTGGGAAAGACACACTTCCCACTAATGAACTAACAAATAATAATTTCCTACTAAATTCTCTGGTTTTGTGAATGGGGCACTAAGTGTTGAAGTTCAGTCCAGTATTTAGAATTGTTGCCTGTTCCAATTTGCAGCTGTGGATAAAATGGAATATTTCACTGTTCTGAAGCATTTTTAACCATGCATTTTCTTCAACTGTGCCAATCTCTTCAGAGATTTTGTTGCCATATCTGGTAGCTCTGTTAGCCTACACTGCTGCATACCTTTGTGCTGGCTACCCTGTTTTCAAACCACATTTTTTTCAGCAGTCTCCTCAGAGGTTAACTGGTACAGGGGTGAAACATGATGTTTGACTCTGACTGGCTGACTCATCAAAGCAGGCAGGCATCTGCCAGTTACTTCTAGCCACAGACTCAGAGTTTGAGCAGTTCTCACTGAAACAGCATCACATCTCTTTCTGATCACTGTCTGTGAGGCTGTCAGATGTGCACCCTGGTGTGGGCTCATTGTACCATTCCCCTGGTGCTAACTAAAGCAGCTGATGTTATGAAGACCTCTCTTCCCTTTGCTGCTGTGGCCAGTCGTTGCCAGTTCCTGGCCGTGGCTGCTGAGTCTAGATTCTCAGCCTCAGTGGTGTCACTGAAGCAGCAGGGGAGACCTCTGAAAGGGAGGGTTCAACTTCCACTGAGTTTCCCACTGTCACCAGAAGCTGCTTTGGCTGTTCTGCCCTCTAGCAGCTTTACCTCTGCAGTTAGTTCTGTGTTCACAACTACTGCCTCATTGGTGCTTAAGAAACTTGGTACCAGTGGGGCTTCCAGCCTGCTTCTGGGTGGCAACCTTGACACCTGAGAACTTCCTCTTAAACTCAGCTTTGGTTCTGAAGATCCTGTGTTAGTCCAATGGGGGCTTGAACACAGGCAAGGAAGCTTCTCAGGGCAGGACACAGAGCTGTTCCTGTGACCTTCATCTCATTTGGTCCTGCTTGCCATCAAGACCTTTATAACTAGGACTCATGGCAGCCAAGTGTTGGCCATCACACCTTTGGATATTCTTGAAGGAATCCCTTCATTTACCTCATGCTTGCTTGAATTCATTTCTTTGTAAAACATTTTAAGTTACTTCTCTTCTGTATGGGTGGCTTTGTAACACTTTGTAAGACTTATTTTTACATCTTCCAAGTCCACTATTATTTATTTGTTGCTTTTGCCATTGCTATTTGACTTTTCTTCATAGATGAAAAATATAAGCAAGATCCAGAGCTTTCAGATTTTTATTTTATAACTTCACACAGAGTGTCTCTTGAATTACTAGTAGTTATTGTTCCCATATTTAAAAGGGACATTTGTGAATATGTGTAAACATGTAATATGACAAATGACTGGCTGAGTTAATCAGCAAAGTCATTATAAAAGGTATATTTATAGCAATGTAATTACTGTAGAAATAGTCAACACTTTTTATTATATTTATTTGAGCATGACTTAATTTTAATTGAGTAAAAGAACTCAAAAGTGCAAAACTTGAAGAATGCTCGGCCAGTCATCATCTTGAGGAACTCAAAAGTTCAGGAAGATGAGTGATCCAGTAAAAACAAGAAAAAAATTCCAAAGGAAAGGCAATTTAGTTTGTTTTGTAAATAAACAATGTGATCATGGTTTTACCAAATGTTGTAGTTAGGCAGAGTTTAAGCTATGTCTTAGTGTATTTATTCTTGACAGTATCATGTTGTACACTTGTCCATGTATAAATGCAGTAGTGGTGAAATAACTTTCTGAATTGCTTTTTCTTTTAGCTTCCAGAAATGCTTCATGGGGATGGAGATAATGAAGAGCATGGTTATTGTCCTGTGGGGCAGTTCATTCTTCAGAACCTAGGCCTGCTTCTTGGATTTGCCATCATGTTGGTGATTGCCCTCTATGAAGATAAAATTGTGCTTGACATCCAGTTTTGATCTAATTCTGGTAATCACTGTGGTTACAATACTGTTACTGTATGGCTTTGAGTCTGCACTGTTCCACTGTATGCACATTGCTCAGAGGAAAAGCAGTGGCTTGCACTACTTACCCAAGTACAGTAGATTTGTTTCTGTAGAGATTAACTTCTGCTTTTTTTCTAATTCAAATCAGATGAGATTACCCAGTGCATCTTCTAAACTCAATCGGGATCAGCAATTAGGAAATCCTAAATATAAGAAATAAATGCCAAGTTCAGCATGCTAGGTAGGAAGCACTGCTTGCTTAAGAAAGGAAAAGCACAGTGAATGATCTGCTGAGTTGGGGAAATACCATTTCATTAGTACATTTGAACAGAACACAGAAAACATCAGAGCTGAAATTCATACCTCTGCAAGGAACCTGAGTAAGTTTTAGTGCCACATAAGTCTTAAGCAGCACACCTATAGGTATGTAGAGAGATATATATAGAGAGATATATACAGATATGAATGCATATATATATATATGTGCATGTATGCCTGCATAGATATATATATATAAATTCTGTGCTGATTCTTCTGCATAGTGGTGGCTTAAGGATTATATTTTACAACAGCAATGACTGGAAACCACCATGCTGGCTTAAATTTTGAGGAAGAAACTCAAAACCTGATCATGGTTCCAGTCGAGTACGTGTTAAGCTGCTCTCCATCACTATAAACTCCACGTGTAAGCAGAGAGGCTGGCACAGCATGTGCTCCACAGTGCTGTGTGCTGCCCAGGACCAGTCTGACAGTGTTTTTCCTAAGATTTATGTGATGTTTGTTCCTTGATATTAGTAGGAAAATGCAAACTGCAGTAGAATTAGTGTTAGCTCAGGGAAGTCCCTGATGTTGGAGTTGTTGAGCTATTTCTGGTTCTTTTTTACAGATGCTAAACATGTATCGTGTGCCACTTGCAGCATAAACTACTGAAGAATTGTGGCTGTGAATTTGTGCAAACTCTTTTAACAGAGAATCCGTATGGGAATATCTCCATTGTTTTTAACAATTATTTTGAACTGTATTTCTCCTCTTTGTGTTAAAACCATCTGAAGTGCAAGACACTAGTTCCTGACCCTGGGCACAACGGTTAAATTACACTCTGTGTATGTAGTACTGGTCGGTTCTTTACAGTACTGTAACACCAGAGCAAACCCTGTCTCTACAATGCCTTGATAACCAGACATTGTAGCACCAGCCATCACTGGCAGTAGAGAGCATGTAACATTTCTACTTCCTGCATAAAGGAGTTCATTTCTATGATATTTTTTTACAACTTTGGTATTTAAAATAGATTATTAAAAAGCAGATGTGATAGATCCATGGTATGTGTAATTTGGAAAGATAGACTGAAAATTTGGGCCTTAACTTGCTGGGATCAGCTCTCCTAGAGTGGATTGTGCTGATGTGCTTATATTGCCAGACATGAGTTAGTTCTCCTTGTACCCATCTCCTTAAAAAAAAAATCAAACCTGTGAGTTTGTGAGGAGTGCAAGTTGATTCTGTAGTAGCAGTGCTAAGCATGGTGGTAGCCTGTTCTAAAGCAGACAGTTTGTCTCCTTTCCTGTGTGTGCCAGGTCAAAGCTGTATTTTGCCTACGTGCCGTAAGTTTCGTTCCGGTCTGCTTGGTGCCAGTGTAGCTGCTAAAAACACCAATCCCAACGCCTTTAATGAGAGCCAGTTGGTATCTTCATTCCATTTCAAGTTAATGTGTGTTTCCAGTGGCCCTTTATTTTTTTGAGGCTTCATTGGTCAATTTATTTTTCACTGAGAGCAGCTCATGTATTTTAAAGATATCGGTTGGTTCTTGCCAGTATTTTTTCCTAGTGCAGTATCAAGAAACAGTATTAAGGGTCCATTTCAAAGAAGGGCACAGTTTCTTCAGTGAAGAAGCCAAAAGCCCAGAGTTCAGGCATGCAGCCATTTGATGCTCTGAGCTCAGGTCTTCTTTTTTCTTCTTTAAACATGTTTACTGTTGGACCATAATTAGCAACCACACTGTTGTTAGCTGCAGAGTACTGAATTTCTGCAGTGTAAAGCTCCTGGGTGACATTTTTTTCATAGTGCCCATCTTAGGTCACTGAGGACCATTTTCAAATAGACTTAACTCACTGGATACCTTCTGAGGAGCTAAGTTTTTAAAAAAACTATGTTTCTTTTGTATTGAAGCGATCCTTAATTTTCCTCTTCTGTTAATCCTGTTGAGTGTTAAGGGGGTTGTTATGTGGTTGATCTGATAATTTGTCAAAACATTTTTTAAAGTTTATTCCTTTTATTTCCTTTCAAATGAAGATTTCTATATTTCAGGTAGTATATTTACTTTTGTATTAGTTGGAATATGGTTATAGCTTAATACACTGCCTCTATAGGAAAATAGTTAACTTCCTTCCAAGACCATCTTCAGATAAGGGAAAAACATGGTCCTTGAAGGTAGGTACTGTATTTTTCATTAGATATCATTGTTTTCCTTTTATTTTCTAGTATTTATTACAAGTTATGAAGAGCAGTGTAACAGCTGTGACTTCTTCTGTGTTTCCACCAGTATTGAATTCCAAATGATTCCTAACGTACACTGTTGAGTCATGTTACAGACAATCTGAATTCCACTACATTTCTACTTGGCTTCAACATTCCATTCTGCTTGAATCCAGAGTCTCATTTAACTTGTATTTGTTGGAGGGCATAAATGTTACTTGTATATTACAATGCTGTCACTGTGTGACATCCCATATCAATTTTGATGTAGATCACATTGCACTCAATCCGCTGTGATTATACTTAGAAAATATTGTAGTTGCTAGATGCAGTGTGATTTTTGGTTTTTCTTTCTTTGTTTTTTTCTTTCCCCTCCCCATTAACAATTGAGTCTATGGTTTAAAATGTGGTTATGGTCCTATAAGATAACTTGCTAAGCTATCAGTCTTTTTGTTACAACTAAACCATTTTTTAAAATTTTATAAAGCTGGAAATGATCAAATGCTGTTTTGTTCATTGTCAACAGTGTTGTGTTCATTTTATGTATGTTCCTTCTAAATAAGGAGCCTTCAGAAAATAAAATTATTCAAGGAGCAGCTATTTTTGTGGCTTTTGTAAGGTTTTATCATGCACCTTTTTGTTTCAGATCTCACAAAAAAGCACAGATGCAACATTGTGAACAAACTCATTTTTATTTCTCCTTTAGTGTGGCTTTTCAGGACTGACGTGCATCCCTTATAAGTGACCTGCGAAATGCACCTACCTCCACAAATTAAGACAGATTGATGAATTAAGCTGACATAATAACACCACACCTCATCTGCTTCAGTGTTGTCTAAAGGGAGAGTCATTGCCCTGACAGAGCTGCTGGCATGGCCTGAGCTGACAGGACCCCTCTTCTCTCACTGGTCTTGTGCCCTGGGGCCAGGTGCCTTGGGCTCTGTGGAATGCCTGCGTTCTTACACAGCTTTAGCCACACCTGCAGTAAAGCATAAAATAATCCTTTTCATCTCAGTTAAATAACAAAAGAAACAACCCTAGAGAAACAGTCTTGGCTTGGGCAAAGTATTTTGATCATTGTTTTTTTGTTTTGTTTGCTTTTTAACAGATTGACCTGGAAACCTGTTTCTTGTTTCCTCTTTCTTAGTAGATTGCTTCCTTTCCCAAAATAAGCAACACCAAATTCCTGTCACTGTCATTATTAGCAAAGGATTCTCGGCTCCTCTCAGACAACTTCTGTTTCAACACAAAACTTTGCAGTTAAATTATTTTCTAAAGAATTACCCTGTTACTTCTTTAAAGCCTAGAACCTGAGTATTAATTCTACAGTATTTGTTGGTCTATAATACTAAAAAATGTCACCAAATGAAGGATATTGACCACAGGCACTGTGTCATAGAGGATTTTTGGATGAGGTTCTCCTAGCTTCTTAGCTTGCCTGTTCCAGCATGGCCCATCCAAGAACATCCCCTGAGCAGTTGGAGCAGAGCCCATATTACACAAAACCTGACAGTCTCTGCTGGCTGAGAGCAGCAGTGAGTGTAAGGCACTTGGCTAACTGTACATTAAGTGTGGGGACTTTTGTCAATTTTCTGCATCCCAAGTGATGATCAAACTTTAATACAGTCTTATACTTTATTACAATTATTATTACAGGTCTATAAATTTTATAAAGTTACAGTGTCTAATGATATCCTAGTGTATCCAGCCTTTTCTGCATGTTGAGTGGCAGAGTTTGTTATTCCACAATACAAGACACTGTTTTTATAGTTGTCATTATCAAGTTTTTTGTATGTACTACATACTGTCAGCTTTAATGTTTTCAGACTTGGAGATTTGATCAGACAAACAGACTCTCACTACTTAGTCTTCACATTGTTTCATTGCTTATCTTTCAAACTGCCACTTGCTTATACCTTTCTGAAGTGGTTCATTAAAAGAAAAGGAAAAAAAAAAAGGGAAAACAAAAGGCCTTTAAGTGTTTAAAACATGGTAAGTATCTTTACTTTGGGATGTCATAGTGACATGACAGAATGACAGCTATTTTTCCATCAGCTCTCCAGGAGAAAAAATAAGTTACAGCAACATCTATTTTTTTTTATCACACTTCTTGCTCTGTAAATGTTAACTTCCTAAAAATAAAATAAATAAATAAACCTGCCCCAACAGAAAATTGTTTGAAAGTGAGTGGCTGGATGTGGCTCTCCCAGGCAACCTGCCAAGCCCTTCTTTTTACACAACTTCCAGTCAAAACTGATGCTCAGAAAGTATTAAAAAGAGTATTAAGAACAGTTCAGTTTAATCTGTCCTTTTTTTCTGGGGAAGAGCAAGCTAAGAAACTTATCTGCAACTGGAACCTAAGGTAAGTAATGTAAAGTGGTTTGATTTAAAAAAGGCCTCTTTGCCCCTATTGCACATTGTGATCTTATCTGTAAGGTGTTTTTCTAGAGACGGTTAAAGTAACGTACCCAAATTCTGTACGAAATGTTTGGTTTTCCTTG